CCTCTCAGGTGTGTCAAATTAGTAAAAACGGGAAAAGGGCGGAGTCTCTCCAGAACAGATTGACGGTATAACCAAAAACATGGAATATAAATAAAACACTGCACAAAATATAACCAAAACATGCAATATAAAAAATAAATAAGCACACTTCACATTAAAACACAGCAAAGCAAAACAACATCCGTCCTTCCCTGGATGACATTTCATCTTCACTCACCTTTCTGTACTTAATCATTAGTTGTTGTCTGGCTCTCTTCCACAGCGTGTCTTTTTCCCGTCTTCCTCCCCCTCACCCCAACCAGTCGCGGCCCCTCCCTGTAAGGACAAACTGGTTTAGTTGCTGCTGTTTCACGCGTGCTTGTTTCTTGTTAAACATCTTCCTGTGCAGGATTACATGTTTGTGTGTCCACCAATCACAGTTAAGCTCAGATGTGAAGCAGCCCTCACTCGTCTTCACATTAAAGGTGCCTGAAGTGACGCAGCTGTTGTCAGTGGTGTGAAAGCCTCAGCAGGCCGATGGTGGTGTGCAGGACTCATCGTCTGTGGCTGAAACAGACTCACACTGCAGTACTTTATTCACAGCTGTGATCTTGAATGTGTTTCTATTGTAATTCTATTTTTCGTCACAGATGTGAGCGAGCGCAGTGAGAGTTCCCGTGTCTTACAGAAACATGACCTGAACTCAGCCTGACTGGGCCGTCTGTCGGCTAAAAACAAGCTTCTTCACAGGAAGTTAGCCGGGACTAAGGAAACTATAAATCACAACAACAACGGAAGACTGGCAAGATTTATTGGTTTAGTAAAATGTATTAAATTAAACACATAAATGAGGAAAGCTGAGACTGACTGCAGGAGGCTCCAGGCCTCATGAAACACGTCCTCACACAGAAGGCAGTTCATCACTGCTGCTCACAGATATACTGTTAGTGTGACGAGTACAAAAAGAACTGTTCATAAGAACAAATGAGTTCATGTAAGACTGAGAGGAGACGTGGTTAGTGACGGCACAGGAAGAGCTTCCAGTGGTTTTAGAAATACTTATTTCATGTTGTAATTCAGGCAGTTGCCAGTTAAGGATTTTGTGATGAACTGAGGACTAATTTTGCCATATGAAGCCTTTTAAATGAAAATAAAGATACTTTGTCACAGGACTGACAGGTCAGTACAAAACTGGACTCAGGTGCAGAAACAGCAGGTAGGTTTACAATATATTTATTAGTTAAACGGGAAATCGTGACAAGGCGACAAAACATAGAGCTTGTTGTGGCTTGGGTGACGTGGCTCGGTGGATCTAAAAACAGGGAACGGGCCCAGAGATGCAGACTGGAACGGGACAGTTAAGGAGTCACATTGCAGGAGGAGGAAAGGATGGGAGAGAGGTGAGCTGAGCGGTGTGGAAAGGCTGACCTGCGATCCGGACGTTCCTGCAGGATGGCAGGCAGGTGAGACACAGAGTGATTTCCAAAATGGAGGTTTGGTATCCTGAGTCAGAGACAGGAGCGTAAGGTGGCGGTTTGACACAAGGTGAGTCCAGGATCTGTGGTGCGAGGTTAGCAGGGTCACAACGAGAGGCTGAGACATGAGAGTGAGCGACAGACGTGGGTCGATGATGAACTGGCGGTGAACAAATGTCAGCGTGAGGCTTAAATCCCTCTCTTGATGGCCTGCCATCAGCTCCAGCTGTGAGGAAGTGGAGGAGGAGGTGGCCCCGCCCAGGGACGGATACCAGGTAGGCTTGGGAGCCTGATGGAAAATTCCAGCCACAGACCCGGACCATGACATACCCGAAGACTGCAACAGAAAAACGACAGAGACAAAGAACATACAAACATTCACTGCCAGATGCAAACGTAGCCCATGTGAGGTTTGCAGAGCACTGAGACGTAGGAAGGACCAGAGTGTGAGCTTGTTAGAGGGATAAGACACACGGGCTGCTTATTCAAATATGAAAAAGGTTCTCACAGAGTGAATATTCACCAACAAGTGTAAGCACCATAAACAAAGAGACGTTTTCCTCTGGTTTGGACTCTGTTAGCTTTAATCAGACAAACCAGGATCCAGTCAGGCTCGTTCCAGCGTCACACAGGTCACCTTCTCCTTCAGTGAACTCTGAGCAGCTCCTCGGGGTAACGAGGTGTTCAGGTTAAGAGGTTTTCATTTTTATCTTTGTTTTTGTATAAACAATGAAAGGTGGTGGATTAGCCAACTGGTCATGATCAACTCTGGGCTGAACAATCACAATACATCCGTATGTAGGTGAAAGGGACGCGATTCGTGCCGGACTTCAGCTGGAATGAAACAAGGAGCTGCAGTTATTCTGTGTCTTTGCTGCAGCTGCCTCTTCTCTCATTCTCGCCCCTCCCTCTCCTGTTGCTACTTCAATCATGAAACTGATCAATGATCAACTGATGGTGATCGGGTGGTCAAGGCGCAGACTCCCTCCTGAAGTGAGCTACTTTTTAAATATCTGAAACCGGTTCCTACAGTTGACCGTATACCGAAAGCTTTGAAATGAATTCTAGCCTCTGTGTCTGATGACTGGCTGCTAATATTAGCTTCTTTGTTCACATATTATCTATGTTAGCTATGGCCTCCACAGTCACCTGACCTAAACCCAGTGGAGATGGTTTGGGATGAGATGGAGCGCAGAGTGAAGTTAAAGGACCAACAAGTGCTCAGCATCTCTGGGAA